TTCTAGCCTATAGAAATGAAGTATTAGGAAGACATGATAATTGTCTTCCAGTACTTCAGGGGCTGTTACGCAGAAGAGGGGATTGACTTATTCTCCAAGGCACCCAGAGGGCAAGACAAGAAGTGGTGGGCCAGATGATCCTGCAGATACCCACTCTTAGAACAAGGAGGGGGGAAATGGATTTGCAGCAGCAATCCCTCACCTTGAAGCAGATAACCATCTGAGATCAGGCTAGCTGTCACTCTTTTAAATTTTAGAAAGTATCTTAAAGCCACAATCTTCCACAGTGCTTTGGACATTGGGTTTTAATATATTATAGGAGCACAATTTAAAAACTTAATGATTTCAACATATATGCAATAATCAATTGCAAGATTGTTCCAAGGAAGAAAGGAGAAACTAGAGTTTCTAGTGAGAAATTTGCTTCTGACAAGGAAATTAATTTTGGCTCCTGTCAAAAATATTATTCTGGATTTACTTCCTCTTCTAAATTGCCATATTACTACATGCTCTGGAAATTAGCACAGGAAGACTTCTAGAGAAATGGGGTATAATTTTCTATTTCTTTACACCATCTATCTGAGAATCTGAGCTCAAAATCCTTGACTTCACAGATATCTTTTATCTTGACTACTTTTTATCTTGATTACTGAATCTGTAGTCAAGATAAATATAAAATTTATATTTTATTTCTGGTCATGTGGAGAAAGAGGATGTTAAGAAGCATGACACAATTAAGTTTTGTAGGATCCTCGACTTCACTGTTTTATCTGTTTTTTCACCTCTGGAACTGGGAACTTACAACAGTTCTACAATTATTCAAAGCATCCAAAATTGCTTTCTGCATCTCTGCTGCTTCGGTACTTTACACCTTTGGCCAAGAAAATGAAGCAAAAGCAAAAGAGAAGAAAGAAAATCCTACAGAGTATAAATCCACTCACGAGCTTATCTCCTGATCAGAGATATAGAGAATAAGTAACTCAATAATTAATTTAGAGATGTTTCAGCTCTTACTGTAGCAAACAGTATGTCAGCTCATTCTGACCATACAGTTTGCTACATACTGAAATCGCTCTTCCTCTTGGAGAATCAAAAAGAGACCTGCCTGCCAGTTCAAAGATGAAGTGCCATCATGACGTTAGAGTTGCCTTCATGAGGGTCTGGAGAAAAAGAGGGTTTTGTTCATATTGTTTCAAATTCTGGTACTTTGCAATTGGTTTTTTGTTGTTGATAGTTTCTTCTGCCAGCCATTAGATTTGAGATGTGCATTAGCTAAGAACATTTTAGGCACAATTCTATCTCTGTTACAAATGGTTTGAGCTCCTTGTTAAAGGAGGTTAGAATAAAGGAGAATCAAGCACATTCAGAGGTTGAACATAAGGGTGCCCTATAGGTCAAAGATAAGCTTGGAGCCTGAAATTTCTTGATGAGGCAATTGCTGCCTATCAAGGCAGCCCTTCCTTCATCCAATTTGCTAAAATAATTAAGCTCTATTTTTAATTGATTAGTTAAGCAGTAGTAAGTAGTGAGATTTCCATTTCTTCTTCATAATGTCCTTAAGTTATTTGAATTTCTATATCTCCACCCACCAAAATATGACTGCCTCATCTAGACAATCACACATATTATGTGCTGGTTTGAACTACCACCAGAGATAAATTGAAGGTTATCTCCTACTTTTCATTACTACTGGAATCCACTTAGAACCTAATAACCTTTTTGACCCAGGCAAGTTAATTGCTGCCCAAACATTTTATATTACTTTAAGGCCACAATATACTACATTAGAAGCAATTCAGAATGACTAACCATCATGTTGGTATTGTCTGCTCTAAGAATATTAATATGTATGTTAAATTCTTTGTTATAGAAGTTAGAGTTTATGCAACATAATTCAATATTATCCAGTGTATTGTATGCATTCCCTATATTCAGTGCATTTGTGATAACATTATGTTTCTATGTACTAAGTTTCTACATTGCAGAATATAAATACTATCCAGCTTTAATACAGAATTAAAAAATATGCATTAGTGCCTGTGCATCATTTCAAGCCAATTATGTATGAATGTATATATGTATGTATGTATGAATTTTATATGGCTCCCTCTACAAAGCAATTCTGAGTGGTCTACAATTAAAAACACAAATATTAAAATACTAAGAACAAATACAAAACTTAAATATTGAAGGCAAGGATGGTATCTTCTCTATTAATCCATCGTTGGGGGGAAATATCGAAAGATTTATTTTGTTACAGACTTTGTTAAAGTGAATCGATTGCTAATGGTTCTTTGCTGAACACAGGTTTTGGTTGCTTTTGGAGACTATGGAAACCATACTTAACTGTTTTTTCTAAGTTTGCTATTGGCATTTCAAAGCATTATTGTTAATTATTCTCTTGACAGCTGTGTCACCTATTTTTGTAACATTGGAACGAAAAATAAGAAGGCAAAGAGGTTACTAAAAATTGCCATTGTTCCCTATAGCAGAACATAGAAATATTTGAAGTTTTCTTCCATTGAAACATAATCAACTTGAAACATTCCAATAGAAAATTTAAGTGGAGTTGTTTTGTTCTAAACTAAGACAAAACTTGTAGTTTTGTAGTTGTTAAGGAAGTTTATCCTGTTATTCACAATAATATATCCAGGGTACAAGTTATTAAGATACGGTAGGAAGATTTTATTTATACAAGAAGAAATATTGCTGTATTTGAAGAAGATAACTCTTTCATGTTGTAAGAGTTGATTTTCCAAGTAACCTTTCAACCAAAGTGTATATGTGTATAAAGCATACACCCATGCTCATCTGCATCAAAGCCATTGAAAAATACTTTTGTGATACGCAGTTAATCCAACAATTAAAACTCATGAAGGATGTAACAGTTTCAATAAGTATGATTGTTACTTGGTAAAATCCAGAGATTCTGATAATGGGAACAAGGCCTTTAATTCATACCTCAAAGTAAATATTTGTGAAATTTAAAAAAATCTGAGAGTCAAAAGATATAAATTTTATATTTATCCAAAGAAGTGGTCCTAAGTAATAAACACTGCCCCCACTTGAAACAATTATTTAAGGAAGAAAAAGCCACTTTACTATTTTGTCACCTAGATCTATGAATAATGCTTAAAATATAATGGCATAATTAGATTTAGAAACTGTCCACTTTATTATGCTGTTTGCTTAACTGCTGATCAGCTGTTGTTAGCTTTGCTTTGACTGCAGGTTAAGAGCTTTTTTAAAATTCTGTGCTCTGGACAGGCCATCTACAGAATAATGGAGGCAGTACTTTATTATGTGGCTCAGCTTCTCCTGTATTCAGCCCTATAGCAGGATTGTTTGGGTAGTAGATTTTGTGCTTTTTTGTCAGAATGTTATACCTGCCTGGGTTCATCAGACATTTGCTCTTCTTTCTCAACATCCTGTTCAATAGGCTTGGAGAAGTATGGTTTTGTCAGTATGTTAAAACTGCAGCAGTGTATTTCCCACCAGTTCATGTTCAGAAAAGTGGAGAGTACTGACCCAGTTTAAGCAGTACTTTAATGGAATCATGGGAAAAGACTCTGAGTAGCTGATTTTTTACTACCCAGTAAAATTATCATTTTTCTGCAGCTTCCTTTTTATGACACTAAACCTGACTCTTCTAGTACTTCCAGTAGAGATGAGAGACTTAAAACCAAGGCTATTTCCATTTTATTTTAAGACAGTTGTGTTATTTTATAATTTCTACAGGAAATATCTCAAAATTGGGCATTTGGCACCTTTAAAATATACTATTTGAAACTGAATATAGGAGACTTAATGATCAGCTTTTTCCTAAAGGTCCTTTTTTCATGAGATCAGAAAGAGATCAAAGAGATCAGTTCTTTTGAAAAAGTATGCATATGGGAACATGAATCTAAAAACAGCCCTGCTTAAGGCTAAGGCCCATTTTAGCTTAGCATTCTCAAAGTGCTAATTAGATGCGTTGTATCTAATGCTACTTGGAGGCATGCTGTTCCCAACTCAGAGGTAACACTGAGACTTTGGTAGACATCTATGAATTTATCAGTGACCTCAGCTAAAGTAAAATTTAAGAAAATAAGCTTTCACTTGAATTACCAGAAGAACATCAGTTCATGCTACCAGTGGAACATGCTGAGAGATAGCCCTATTTCTTTTCTAGGTTAATGTTTGAAAATGAATGGAGAAAAGGGGCGGAATTATCAAAACTGGAAGTAGGAAATCTTACATTTTCATTAGATTATCCAAGCAGCCTTCACTGTTTCAGGATCAAAATAAGGTTCCTAAAAAGTGGCATCCTAGATATTTATAAGTTTTGCTGGTGGCCACAATGCTTTTCCAGAGCTGTACTACTGCTATCAATCAGTAGCATAACTTTACTTTTAGTGGCCATAATTTGACTCAGAGGTCACTTTCCATGGTCAGGCACATAATTCCTGATGGACTGTGACTGGACATTGATATCAGCATGACTTTTAAAACACAAAGAGCTGGGACTATTCAATTTTTTTCACAGGATCCATTCTTTGCTTTATCATATTATTTATCATTTTTTAAATAACAATTGGAGATAAGTCTCGGCCAGGTCAATGATCCTTCTGCATGCCCTTTCATTTTTAGGGTTCTTCATCTTATACAAATGCCTTCTTTCAAAGCTTTGTCCTAACCAGGCGGTTCATTCCTTACTGAATGGCAGGAACAGCCTGAGGCATTTGTTGGCTCATCAAACTGAGGCGTAGAAAGAGCGAGAAGAAATGGGAAGGGGACCGGACGACAAAGATAGACGGCTTCTTTATCTCCGGAAAGAAACAAAACGCAGAGGCTGAAACACGAAATTCAGACTGGGGACAGCCAGCCGGACAGTCACCAGAAGGGGAAGCCGCGAGTGGAGCTGGAGGAGGGAGGGACAAAGGGAGGCAACTTCAGTGCAGGTGACACCAACTTCGGCTTGCACGGGTCGGATTCAGTTTTCCTTCAGATCTCCGCGCCTGGAGGCTGTGGGGAGGTTAATATCAGCAGCCGAAGGGAATCGCCGGAGCGGGCGCGCAGCTCTGAGCGACAGGGAACCGGTGACAATCCTCGTTGGCGAAAGTGCAAAGAGAAGCAAAATGCACCTGAAGGGCAAAGTGGCTCTGGTCACTGGGGCAGCTCAAGGCATAGGCAAAGCCTTCGTCGAAGCTCTGCTGGAAAAAGGTTGTAAGGTAAGGCTGCCCGAGCATGGGGGACGGGGTGGGGGAAGAGGAGAGCGGCGACGGCGGAGGAGGAGAGGTATGGGCAGAAAAGACCAGCTATCACTAGCAGACACTCCACGTTCCTGCGTTGCTTGCCTTCTCGCTCGCGCTGGGGAGCAATGATAGAAGTTCCTCTCGGAGTTCGTAAGATCAAACTGGCTCCTCCTTTTTCTTGAACATGCAAGTATCTCGGAGCTATTGGCTTTGTCTCTCCGTTCTGCGAGCTTCACCGCGCGCGCGCGCGCGCTCGCTCGCAGCTGTGTGTGTGTGAGTGAGAGAGCAAGAGCGGGAGAGGGAGGTGGGGGAGCGGGTTAGAAGCAACAGAATGTATGGTACTAGTTTCAAAGTGCAGCTTATTTGTTGATACGTGCAGATAATGGGTAAAATCTTCGTTTAATCCTCTTCCGAGAATGGTCGGTATAATACATTACTGTACTTTCCTGGGTCTATTTGAAGTAGGATTTGGTGTTTGTATTCACAGTTTCTAATTTTAAAATTATTTTAACATGCATTGATAAAAATAGTCATGCATGTTTTCCCCAAACCTTTGGAAACACTACTGTTCCATATAGTTAGACTGGTAATGTATTCCATGTGCACTTAATGCGATGAGAAATTCAACTGGGTTGCTGTCAGGAAATTTTATATTCCTTCATTTTTTTAGGTTGTAAAATCTAAAATTTCTAGAGAATGACACATTTCAAACATTTGAAACTTACTTAGCCTCCCTTTGACATGCCTAGGATTTATGTCCTCAAATAAGTTATATAATCCAAAATTGTTAGGTAATATGCTTGCAATTTCTACTACATTTGTTTCATATAAAGCTACATATTTGTACAAATGTAAATACATCAGCTAATCACCACTCTCTAAAACTGCCCTACTTTCTTTCTCTGTTTTATGTCTATAAAAGGTATAACTATTTTTTCTGTCTTCTATGTCAGGATATGCACCTAATTTTACAGATCTGTGTGAAACACTTTTCTTTTTCCTAGGTGGCACTTGTGGATCTGAATGCAGATGCAGGCAAAGCCAGCAAAGATGACTTTGATAAGCAGTATGACCCACAGAGAACTATCTTCATTCCTTGTGATGTTTCAAATGAAGAAAAATTTAAAGGTTAGAAGGATTTTTTAAAAGGTGTTTTAATTCCCTATTTTAAATGTCATGCAGTTGAAATAATAACATCTTGATCTTCATCTAGCCAAACAGATAAGTGTTGTTACTTCAGTATGCAGAAGCTGTATTAATGTTTTCTGCTACCTTAATAAGCCTGGGAAAAATGCTGAAATCTCCTGTCATTTATTATATAGAAAACCTATTTATGATAAATATTTTTTGCTAAAAGGTCCAAAATTTATATGCAGCTGATAGATGATAATCAAATTGAACAGGTCAGGACCTTGAAACATTAGGAGTACGGTTTTATGTCCACTATACATGGAGGTGACATTAGAGTATGTTACAGAGACAGTAAGAAGTTGTTCCATGGCAGCATTCAAATTCTATACAGTAAGAAAATCATATAGACTTGTAGCCTTAAATGTCCCAAAGATGCTTTTTCAGTAGGCAACTGGACTTTGTTTTTCTTTGAAGACATTTCGCTTCTCATCCAAGAAGCTTCTTCAGTTCTGATTAGATGGTGGGGAATGGAAGGATTTATACTCCTTGCAGACAGCTGGTCATTTGCATTCTTTTAGAGAGTTGTTGAGGCCACCTGGAAATTTATCTGTGTCATCAAGGTCACCTGAGTAGTGCAAATGGGTGTGGAGACTTCTTTCAAACCAGCAATCCTCTCTGTCCAAAATGTGGTCTTTGCTGCCTTTGAAAGAGTGGCCTTTGTCTTTTAAATGCAGATGGACTGCTGAATCTTGTCCTGATGGGTTTGTTCTCCTATATTGTGCCATGCATTTATGAAGTGGTTCTTTTGTTTCACCAATGTACAGATCTGCACATGGCTCACTGCATTGTACTGCATATACCATGTTGCTTAGTTTGTGTCTGGGTTTTTTATCCTTGGGGTGGACAAGCTTCTGCCCTAGTGTATTCTTGGGTCTGAAGTGTGCATGTATATTGTGTTGGCCAAAGATCTTCCTGAGCTTTTCTGATATTCCTGACAATGTGTGGAATGACTATGTTGCCTGGTTTATTGTTTTCTTCTTTGTCTGTTATGGAGGAGCTCCTGCTGGGTCTTTTTTGAGATTTGATAAAGGCCCACTTGAGATAGCCACAGGTTCTTCCTTGATGTGTTTTAGTTCTTTTTCTTTCCCATCTTTGCTGATAGGCAGGCCTTCAGCTTGATGGTGTAGAGTTCTGATAACTTCCATTTTGTGCTCCAGTGGGTGATGAGAATCAAAATGTAAATATTGATCTGTGTGGGCCAGTTTTATATAAACTTCACTGTTAAGGGTTGTCTTCCTTAATGTGTATTGCACAGTCCAGCTTCCAACTTCCAACCATTGCAATCCATCCAAAAAGATACTATGATGAACAGTATCAAAAATTGCTGAGAAATCTAGGAAGAAGATAGTTGGGTGCCCTCTTCATCTAATTCCTGTTGGAGTTTATCCATGACAGCTACCAGTGCATTTTCTGCTTCATTCCAAAAGTGAATCCAGATTGCCCTACATCCGGATCATTTATATTCTCCAAAGCCCTCTGAAATATACTCTTACCCTGTTCTCAGCAATCTTCCCAAGAAGTAAAATTTGGAGACATAACTGAAGTTATTGCACTTCCATGGCTGGACATTTTTGAGAAATCTAGAATTTCATTGTCTCTCAAGCAAGTTTTATGTACAGCATGGATCCATTGCATCAGACTCTTTTTGGCTTTTTTTTTCTAGGCAGGTGGGCCAAAATTCCATGCACAAGTGACAGAATTAAGGTCAAACATAATTTTGTACATGCTATTGGGATCCATATGCTCAAAAATCCCCTACTGTCGATGTGACTACAAGATGTATCTAATGTCATCTCAACAGATTCTATCCACCCAGCATCCATCTTGGAATGAAAGCATATAATTTTCTTCATGAAATGTAAGGACAGACAACTGAAATTTATATTCTTCCCTAAAAGGGTCAAGGATATTGAAGTATATGTATATTTATATGCAGTGCTTTTTTTCTAAAAAAAAAAAAAAAAGGTGCCGGAACTCACACGTCATACAACCTGCCTTGCCTACCCTACAAGGTTCCATCCAAAAAAGGTGCCGGAACTCCGTTCTGGGCGTTCTATGAGAAAAAAAGCCCTGTATATATATGTGTGTGTGTGTGTGTGTGTGTGTGTGTGTATGTATGTATGTATGTATTCAAATTTCTTTTTTTGTTGACAAAGAGTTAAAGAATTTGTAGTGTATCACAATAGCTACTTGAGCCTGTTTAACGCTCCTAGGCTGGAGCTTCAAGGCAAAAGTGATCATAATAGTAGAACTGCAGTATAGCAGTTACAAAAACCAAGGTATATCAATCAGACCGGTCTGTCCGGAAAAAACGAACTATATATATGTATATGTATATATGTATATGTATATATTGGGGGATGTCTTATGGTTGCTCACAACCACAATGGGACAGGAGAGCGCACATCACACCAGTACTACCCCCACGAGATGAGGTGAGGCAGGTGGGGATTGGAGCTGCCCAACGTGCCCTATACCCGCTTACTCAGGGTTCCTGCAGCCAGGCCACTCCTGGCTTGGCAACCTCCCCACACACATTCAATGACTCGGCTGCCAGCCTGCCTCTTCCCTTTCACTCCCCTCCTAAGACAGACTACCATGCTGAGGATGGACGGGGGAGACCTTCTCGTGAATAGGTTAGTGCTTCCAGTTAATCACAATATCAATTTCTAGTCGGTCCTTTAGTATGGAAGATTCAAAGGAACACACTATTTGGATCAGTGTTTTCTATGTGGAGGTGATAAGGCTGAAATGGATAATCAAGTTGCTGTATTATTCAAATTCTAGACTATTGTTCCTATTAGCTAGTCTTCCAGGAAATCTGAGCCATTATATGTAAAAGTTCTATAAAAGCCTGAAGAGCAAAGAAAATAGCCTTTGTGATTAAGTTTCTTTGTAATAATATGTAAACTAATTGTGCAGCTATATCTGCATCAATAGGCAGTAGAGATAAAATAATATATATTTTGAATCATGAACATATGAAACCACTAAAATATAGACATATTTTATTACTTACTGATCAAAATTGAAATGATGTTTTCTGTGTCAATATGCAATTATAGTTTCTAGAAAGAAGTTTGTATGTAACCAGGATTTATACATGTGATTTGTGAAATAATAGCAATGTTATTTATAGGTTATATAGGTTATTTCTGTATTTTGGATTTGGTTAGAAATTTAAAACTGTTCAAATACAGTCTTTTCCAAATCTAGTATTACTATGGACATTAAATTTTATGTTGCATTATATTTATTCATAAAGAAGAGACCATTTCTTTCAAAGAATTTTTTTTTAGGATTTGGTAGATATAACATAAAAAGTTGTATTTTCCCTTTTACATATCCCTTTGTGCCTACTTCACAAACTACATTTGAACTTCTTTAAGTTTTAAAAATGGTTTAAAGCTAATTAGGCAGCTCTGTAAATTGCAGAGGAGGGGAGGAATCAGCTTTGCTGACAACTGGGTGACTTGGTATGATTTTAAACCTATTACACTTATAGTAGAAATGCCCACTAGCTTCAATTGTTTTTTTAGATACTAATGTATAAGAATAATGTATTCCCATGAAAAACTATTTAAAGCAAAGATAAAATAGGACAAGAGTTGAAATACATTTAGCCAAGAAGTTTTCCTTGAACTACTTAGAATGAATCTTCTTTTCAAAAGTTACAACTCTTATCATTTGTACTTCTTATCTTTCTGAGACACCTTTTTGAACAGTTTCCAGAGAAATAACTGTTAATCTGCTGCAGAGAAAACAAGAGATACTCTTTGTATAAAATTTCTAGTATAAAGACAATAATTTATTTTTATTGGCTTATAACAGTATTGTGAAAATGGAAAAACATTTTAAAAGCTTTCTCAACAGAGACAGTGAGTGCTTAAAATTAAGTCTCAAGTTTACCACCACTTATCTTCATCGAGAGATCCTAATGTCAGCTTTGTGACATATGGAGAAAAAAAAGGAAGCTCATTTTCTCAACACAATCCATGCTTTACTATATTCCTCTTTACTCACAATTTTCTAAGTCAAATATCCCCAACATGATTTCCTTCAGTTCCCATTCAGCTTCATCATTTTGTTCCTTTTCTGATCTTTTTCACCTAAATTTTAAATATATTGGAAACTAGGAATTGTTCAATCTATTCAGCCAGGTTTTCTTCAGTTTTCATTTTTCCAGTTTAAGTACACAGAAACATTTTTATACTACCCCTAATATCTAGATGTTTATGTATTTATTTGTGTGAAGACATTTTGGTACTGATATTTTTTAACCTTTTCCTCATGATTTTCTGTCTGGGATTTGCCTTCCCCAGTAGTTACGCAATGAACCAATATTTTCACTGAGCTTTTACTACTGTACCCGATTCCCTCTTCTGGTTAGTCACGAACAGTTAAGCCATTAACATAAGATTTTCTCCCTGAAATGAAAGTCTATTTTATTTATTATTTTAATACCCTTTAATACCCTTTCTGAATATATAGGCACTTCTTTTACTTCTTCCTTTTCCACCTTTAAATCAAACCTAGAGCAAAATAAAATACTTCTTTTCCACTATTATAAAAGACACTGATGAGTTTTCTCCCAAATGAATTCAGCAAGGTAATATTTAGTATTTATTATATTAAATAGTACAATATTTATTTATTTATTTGTATCTGACCTTTATTATTTTTACAAATAACTCAAGATGGTGAACATACTCAGCATACCTTCCTCCTCCTATTTTCCCAACAACAACCCTGTGAAGTGAGTAGGGCTGAGTAGTCTTAGCCCAAGGTCATGGCTAAGGCTAAGGCTAGAATTCACAGTGTCCCACTTTCTAGCATGGTGAGTTAACCATTAAACCAAACTGGCTTCCTGGTATCTAAGAAATAGCATTTTAATCCTGCCACACTTTCCAAACACTCTTCAACTAATCCCTTGTAATCCCTGCATTCATTCTTGTAGTTTACTCTTTGCTACCGTAACAGCTACAGAAATCTTCTATCATCAGATGTAGATGCGATCTTCACACTCAAGGAGTTTGCACAAGTTTGTCCTTAAGCAAACCACCCCAGCATTTTAGCATTTCTTCAGTTACATTGTTAGACATGCAGCATTAGCATTTTTCAACATTTTCATGTGTATGACATACTAATATTTATAACATCTTCTATATCATTTTTCACTATATTGCCAAATATCCAATTGGTATTTCTAAAATCCTGCTCCTAGCATTCCCTAATTTCAGTTCATACAGTTTCTTTCATTTCTTTTTTCCAAGTATCCTTTTTCCACTAGCTAAACTGGATGTATTAGTTTGTCACTTGAGTCTTTATAGGCTGTCTAGGAGTTCTGATAGAGTAATATATGGAGCTGGGGGTTCCCTATCTTTGCCACACAGAAATAGTTTGGATCAAGGTCCATTGTATTCACTGGGGCTTATATGTGGAAATACACACAAACACATACACACACATGATACATACCTATCACTCTGTTTCTTTTGGGGCTAATCAACAGAACCATAGAAAAAGAGTGAGAAGTAGTAACCTAAGGTAATTAAAGATAAGTGATATGAGAAAGGAAAATGAACTCTAGTTCTACTTTACATCCAAATATCATTCACTACAGTTTTTTTCATAACTTTCTATCTTTGAAAACCATTTTTGCTTTGACCACATCAGTTCATCAATGTGGATAAAGTGTCTATAAATTAGGGTATGCATTCCATTGATAAAAATTAAACCAATATATAAGATGGATGATTTGAAAAGTCATACTTATATTTATATCACTGTGGATTCACTTCGTTAAAGCAAAATCATAGTTCTGATGGTATTGTCATCAATCATTAAATTTTACAATGGAAATAAATATCAATTTTCCTTACAGATGCATTTAAGAACACAATTCAACATTTTGGAAATCTGGATATTCTGGTCAATAATGCTGGAGTAAATGATGAAGCGAACTGGGAAAACACAGTTCAAATCAACTTGGTAAGACTAATACATACTATATTTTTAAAAGGAAAAAAAAAAACAGAAGTGTAATTAAAAAACTAGACAAAAATATTACATTTTGTGGGTTATTTTTTTACTTCCAAATATATATAAAATTAATAATAATTAGATTTGCTATTTTTTCTGCAAGCAGATGTTTCTTAAACAACTTTTGAATTTGGATGTCTGAGAACAACTGAAGATTTTTATATTAGTCAAGCTTCCTGAACTCTTAGTTTTCATGTAGAAACCTATTGAAAACTATTCTAGAGTTGGTTTGTATAATAAATGTGATCACTTTTTATTAATACGAAATTAATAAATGCTGGTATATCAGTTTAACTTTATTTCACTAGGAAAAACAAATTAAGAAATTTGCTCAGGTTATCTTGATTTCTGTCTCTAAACCAACAGGCTCAGCTAGCTCCTGAGCTTTTTCTATGTTTTTATCCTTTTTGTTCCAACTAGAAAAGACTGTATTTCTGAATGAGTAAACCCAGTACATCTTACTTCTCATTTCTGAACCTAACAGGATAATTTTACAATTGTCATAAATCCATTTATTTCTGAGTCATGGATTAAGCTGGTTATGCTGATCCTTAGATAAAGAACAAACAGATGATAGTTTAACACTGAGCAGCAATCACCAGTGTTGAATTTAACTTTACTGAAGTCTGTGTGTATATGTGTGTGTGAGAGAGAGAGAGAGAAATGGAGACTGAGGAAGAGACAGAGAATGCCTCGTCAGTCTTGATCCTGGCAAGTGCCTAGATATGTCCCTGAAGGTTTGTTGCAACATTTTCAAAAGTGGTTTGGCATTTCCTTCTTTCTATACATACAGTAGCTGACACAGAGTGAATAGCCCAAGGTCACTCAGCTGGCTTTCTGCTTAAGAAGGGACTAGAACTCACTGTGTCCATGTCTCTTGCTTGGTGCCTTAAGTTTTACACCAAATTGGCTTAATAAGATTGATTGAACATACAATAAGTATAACATAGAATCCATGTATCTGGATTCTAATCAAAAGCATTCATCCTAAGCTCACACTTGCTTTAGTTTAATATGTTCTCTAAAACTAAAATGAATGATAAAATATTTCTTTAACAAAACTGTTGGTGCTAACCTGGCATTATTTTATTTTTGCTTTATTAAATTTCTGACTGCAGCTAGAAGACCTCCCTCTTCTACCACCCCCAAGATCTAGTTATGATGAATGCTTTAAATTTTCCTTCAGAGTCCAATATACATATCTTCTTCTTTTGTGTTAGGAATAAATACCAGAAATAACTTCAAAGTGTAAATAATATAATTAACATTACGTTAGGTAAACACCATATCAGCAACAATCATGATAAATGTCACTACGCTACCTATTTGTCTAAGACTTCCTTTCCAAGTCAAAGACCTCAAGTGTTATATCACTGCAATATAGTATTACTTGCAAAATATGGCTAACTTGTTTAGTGGAAGTATTTGCTTTCTTCTTCCTTTTAATAAACTAGAGGAAGCTGTACCAGGAAGCTGTAAATATATCTACATTTTTATCTATAAATATATTTATAGATAAATATAAAGTTCCCTTTAGGGATGGAGAGGTGGCTATATAAATTGGATAAATAAATAAGTGCAAGCAGATGAAAAGGAAATACATAGATCATAATTTTAAAACAATTGTTAATAATACTATTAATAGTGAGAGGAACAATGGCAATGAGAACAATCGTAATAATGTTTATAATACTTAAATGAAGATATTAAGGAGGAAATACAGGTAGTCCTTGATTTACAACCACAATTGAGCCCAAAATGTCTGTTGCTAAGCAAGACAGTTGTTGAGTGAGTTTTGCCTCATTTTACAATCTTGTTGTGCATTAGGATGTGATTATAAATAGGCCTCTGTCTTAGTTCATACTGGAAAGCAGAGCTGGAAAGCAGGTTAGTGAAGAAATGCTTTCGGGAAGAGAGAGGAGCTGGGTGGTGGTGTGCCAAACTCTACAGCAGTGCTGGGAGGAGAACCAGCAGAAAATGGGGCTGCCATTTCCAGAACGGAGAAGGAAGACACGGGGCGATGTAGGGTGGCAAGCAAGTGCTCTTCTCTGCTCTGCATCAATGTGTGGAGCTGCTTCCCTCTGCGTTCTCCATTCTCTCCAGTGATGGTGACGGAGGGCTACCGGAGGGATGCGGCAGAGAAGGCTTGCGCCGCCCAGTCATGGCGAAAGGCACGGAAGAGTTGGCGGAAGAGAAGGAGGCAGCTGTCACCGGGCAGGTGATCTGTGGGGCAAAACAAAGAAAGCCCATCCAGTGGCGTACAGCAGTAGCGGAACCTTTCGCTGTTACTCCCCCCTGGCTCTGAAACAGTGTAGGGAGACTGGGCCTACCCCACCCAACCTCTGTAGCATGGCAGTCAAGCTTGGGAGGGGAGTGAAAGGGAAGGTCATCGAGCAAGGAATGGCTTGGCTGGGAGGGGCCCTGAAGTAAGTGGGTATGGGGCGTGTGGGGCAGTTCCATCCCCTCCCCCACCTGCCTCACTTTGTTGTGGTAGCGGTGCGACATATGCTCGCCTGCCCCATTATGGCAGCGAGGTGGGATGGAGTGGGCAGGGTCCTAACTAGGGCTTATTTTTGGGGTAGGGCTTATATTAGGCCCACCCCCCCAAAAAAAAGAATCAGGGTAGGTCTTATTTTTGGGGAAACGTGATATAGATGTGCTTATGTTTATGTGTGTATAAAATTTGGGTGTTTGTATGTAGGTCTTTAGTTATTCGGGTTTTCTCCCGTGTAGAATTAGAAGTGTCTTGGCGACGTTTCGACGAAGTCACATTCGTCATCTTCAGGCTGGTGTCTTCAGCTTCGTGCTTCTGGGAGTAGTGTGTGTGATCGCAGCTGTTTCTTCCTTTTAACTGCCAGTGGGGTTTGAGCTGATTGGGTGGGAGCTTGGCTGTGTTCTGATTGGGTGGAGGTGTGTTCTGATTGGTTA